ATCAGTAAATACAGAGAGGACCCGCGAGGCCGAAAGGACACCAGAACCACAACCACGACTGAGCGAGCTGGTTGCGCCAGACCAAACAGGCCCATCACAGCCAGCATCCTTGGAACACGAGCCAGAACCTGAACCCCGGACCAGGGAACACCACAGGCCGCAACGCACACGTAGGCCGCCGGCGGACCTCGAGGACTATGAATGCGACCTCCTGGGCAGGACTGGAACTTAGCGGGGAGGGGTGTTATGTACTGAGTTGAATAGGATCCAAACGGCAGCAGTCCTTGAACAATAGGAGCCATATTGCAGCAGTCTGATTGGTGATAGAACAATAGGATTCAGAATGCAGCAGTCTGATTGGTCCAAGCACAATGCAGCCGTATGCTTGGGTGGCAGGAACCACCCAAGCATGCTCCAGATATAAGTGAATCCACAACCTGATTGGCTTACAGTAGAATTCCAGAATTAACCAATCATGTGCAGCCCATTGTGTAAATAATGTATATAAAGCAGATACTTTGAGGGGACATTCATTCATTCCTCCTCACCACTATGAGCTGAATAAAGAGCATGAAATCACTTTGCGACTGAGTATATTTCAGTGTACAAAGGTGACTGAGGGAGATTTGAAAAATAAGGGGAGCATGTAACTAGATTCAACATGCAAAAGGGGAAAAAATGCAAAGAAATGTCTCCAGATGGGCAAAAAACCCAAGTGTAATATTAAGTGTTAGAAAAATAATTATAAAACAAATTACTGACTATGATCCCTGCCGGAAATGGCAGTTCAATTCTGAGCATGACAAGTATAACTTGAGTAAGGAAGGAAAGCTAAATCTTACACATTAAAGTATAGAACTAGTTACATTTTACTCTAAGCATCTTCAAGAAATTATGTATGCATGTATAATAGTCACAGCTAGTTAGGCTGCAACACTTGCCCCAGCTGCCTGGAAGAAAGTTCCACTGAATTCAGGAGACATGGTTAGGATTACACTGTCAGTTGATTTTACAATCTATTGCAAACCTTTTTGAACATTATTTTCCAAAGCAATATGAATAAATAAAGGAATAAAAACATCATTCCTTCTAACAGCAAACTGGAGCACTGAGAATTAAGGTGGAAACACAAGATTTGCAAAAGTACAAAAAACCCCCAAAAGCTAAATGAGAACTGAGCATGTTCATTTGGAAAAGAAAATACTGACCATGTGGGAGGGAGAGGACTGGAATGCAATGCTTGTAGGGAATGACTCGCTAGCATCTTGACAATACTTATTAAGTAGAAGAGAAACCCTGATAGTGGAGGGTTTGACACTGCAAGAATGCTATGAGGTCTGGATGCACACCCTACCACCAATGTTCTGCTAGCAGAAGTAGATGAATAAAGCAAACTGACGCCGGAAAGTAAATAGCTTAGCAAACTTTACTGATTTATAAACAAATAGGATTAACAAAACTGCTGAGGTGGGTCGACTGAATGGATCAGAGATGGGGCAATGCATCTTTGTGTGACAGAGTGCTGCTCGCTGCCCTTTAAGAGACAGTAGTGTGTCCACTTCTCAAAAAGCCCACTCTAGACCCAAAGAAGTGCAATAACTAGAGCCAGTTGCCAACACTCCGTTCTTGGCAAAGGTGGGGAGGAGGGAGGTGGTGGAGCAATTGCAGGTGTTCCTGGATGAGACTGATTATCTAGAACCACTACAGTCTGGGTTTAGACCCGTTTAGCCTTGATAACTGTGATGGATGAGGGACTGAAGCAGTGTGACACTGCTACTTCTGCTTGATCTCTCTTAGTGAGATGGGTATCAGAGGCACCGAATTACAGCAGTGCTGTTTGTATCTTCAGGGTCATATCCAGAGAATAGTACTGGGTGAGAGTATCTTGGGCCCCGGCACCTGTGCCATGGGTTCTGCAGGGTAATATTCTGAATCTATGAAAGGGACTATGAATGCGCTAGACTAGTGTCCGGATGCAGAGTTGGACTTTATGTGTGTCAGTAACTGTGTTTGAATTCTAGGATGATGGAGGCTCTTTCGGTGGGTGGACTCCATGCTTAGGAAATTGGCAAGTTGGCAAGAGAGGTGCTAGACCAGTGGGCAGAGGCCATGATGGGCTGGAAGTGGGCCAGCAAATTGAAACTGAATCCCCAAAAGCCAGATTTGTTCAAAGTTCCTGAGTCTGGGAGGTGGGGAAACACCCTGCCCTGGATGGGGTTGCATTCTCCTGGAAGGAGTGGTTTCATAGTATGGGAATATTCCTGTTTCCAGCTACATCTGGTCCACCAGCTACAGCCCCTATAAGACTTTTGCCACTGCCCTCCATGTTTGGTAACTGGACTGGATTGGTTACTGCAATGGGGCTGCCATTGAAGATGACACAGGAACTTCAACTGGTCCAAAATGCAGCAGCCAGATTACTGGCTGTCCCCATCCTTGATGTATTAATCTGTAAGATCATGATTACAGTTTATTTACAGCTGTATTTGACACACTGTGGTTATGGCCTGTCCCTTCAACTGTATCAGCTGGGGTCCCACTTTGTAGTTCTAACTAGTATTCAGAGCAAGATCAGCTGTAATAAACTGAACACCCTGTTGTAAACTGAAAAGCAAATACCCAAAGGAGTGCTCCATGCCTGATTAAGATCCCTAACACTAAGGTCATTTATCCAAGCTAAGAAAACATCATTTTTAAACCTATCACTCTTAATAACACCACAATAGACAAAACATAGATTAGCAAGACTCACATCACAGCCTCGGCTACGATAATGATAGAAAGGAAACTGATTTGAGAGAGGGGTCATATTAAATACAGGGGTGGGAATATATTTAGCTGTTGATCTGTGAACTGTAGTTGAGGGCAAGCAGAGACATATTTCAAATAGTTAATTCATGCAGCAGCTTACTCAATGATCTTTACCCTCCAAAGTGTGAGATGCAGGTTTCAGTTGGGTTTCCAACCCCATAGTTCTGCCCATTGATCCTTAACGTCCTTGGCTGCCACATTTCTAGATATCGGTACAACCCATAATTTTCCAGTGACTTTGCCTGCTTTGTTGACCTGCTTATCACTGTCAGTGAGGTGTATCTTTTATCAGTTTTAAGAGTTATGACAAACTTTCTCTGATTGAGGTGCTTGGGTAAGAAGCCAAACCCTTATACACTTTCCTTAATGGAGCTGCATGCCTTACTGATCATAATGGTTAAACGGTGGATTTCATTCATGTTCATTTGCATAATTTGCTGATTAAACTACATATTTAATCTGTTGACCTTTACTCTCCACTTCTCCCACATTTGCAAAGATGTAATCAATGTTCAAAATTTGCTAGAAGGAGTTCTTATCTCATGAAGTTTGTTCAGGGCTTAGGTCTCAAGTACTTAAAATTCCATAGCACAATAGTCCCTTTCCCCTTGCAGGTGGCAATTTCAAAAAAAAAGAAAAACAAATAAATGCCTTCAGACATCATAATGGATATTAATATTCAGCTCTGACGATTGCTTAGCTATAACATTGCAACTGGTATGACAGCTGCATCCATTCCTGGACCAAGAAAGCTTGACCACATGCATTGCCTACTTCAAAACTGGATTTATTTCTGCATTGCAGGGATTGGACTAGATGACCTTGGGGGTAATTCCCACTCTACACTTCTATGATTCTTTGATTTTATGGATTGCCGCAACGTCCTCTGCGTGGGGCTTCCTTGCACCTGATCAGGAAGCTGCAGTCAGTGCAGAATGCTGAGCGCAAGGAGTGAGACCCTTTCGGCATATGACTCTTGTGCTCAGGGACAGGTTCTGCTTGCCAGTTTGCTGGAGGGCCAGTGCAAGGTGCTATTATTAGTATATAAAGCCCTTAGCAACACCATGGGAGGGGTGTTTCCAGGACTAGGGTGAAACTGTGAAGCTCCCTTGCTGCTTTTGCTATTGGATGCTGCATGTTGCTTAAGCTATTGCGTTATATATATAGTATTGAAATGTGGGGATTTTGTATTTTATTATATGCTTGTTTTGCTATGATATGAAATTGTTATGATGTTATTGTTTGCCTATATTATTATTAAATTACTATTGTAGTGTTGGAAATGCATCTCTGTTTCTTTGTTGAGCATGATTTTTTTGGGTGTGGAAAAGTGCCATACAAATAAAATGAATGAATGAACAACTTGGGACCACTTTACTTGCAGGTTCGCCTAACCTCATCTATGCCTGTTCAACTGCTTCTGTCTGTGGAACTGGACAGTGGTCCCTCGGGTTAAGAACTTAATTCGTTCTGCAGGTCCGTTCTTAACTTGAAACTTTTCTTAACCTGAGGTACCACTTTAGCTAATGGGGCCTCCCGCTGCTGTTGTGCCGCCGCCGTGCAATTTCTGTTCTCATCCTGAAGCAAAGTTCTTAACCTGAGGTACTATTTCTGGGTTAGCGGAGTCTGTAACCTGAAGCATCTGTAACCTGAAACGTCTGTAACCTGAGGTATCACTGTACTGTTATAGTGACCACATAGTACTTGTTCCCACATCAGTAAGAAATTCATCTTCTAGAGTGACAGCAACCAAATTTTTGGAACTCTCTGCTTGTTAGAATCATAGAATCATAGAGTTGGAAGAGACCACAAGGGCCATCGAGTCCAACCCCCTGCCAAGCAGGAAACACCATCAGAGCACTCCTGACATATGGTTGTCAAGCCTCTGCTTAAAGACCTCCAAAGAAGGAGACTCCACCACACTCCTTGGCAGCAAATTCCACTGTCAAACAGCTCTTACTGTCAGGAAGTTCTTCCTTTAGGTGGAATCTTCTTTCTTGTAGTTTGGATCCATTGCTCCGTGTCCGCTTCTCTGGAGCAGCAGAAAACAACCTTTCTCCCTCCTCTATGTGACATCCTTTTATATATTTGAACATGGCTATCATATCGCCCCTTAACCTCCTCTTCTCCAGGCTAAACATGCCCAGCTCCCTTAGCTGTTCCTCATAAGGCATCGTTTCCAGGCCTTTGACCATTTTGCTTGCCCTCCTCTGGACACGTTCCAGTTTGTCAGTGTCCTTCTTGAACTGTGGTGCCCAGAACTGGACACAGTACTCCAGGTGAGGTCTGACCAGAGCAGAATACAGTGGCACTATTACTTCCCTTGATCTAGATGCAATACTCCTATTGATGAGGCCCAGAATTGCATTGGCTTTTTTAGCTGCCGTGTCACACTGTTGGCTCATGTCAAGTTTGTGGTCAACCAAGACTCCTAGATCCTTTTCACATGTACTGCTCTCAAGCCAGGTGTCCCCCATCTTGTATTTGTGCCTCTCATTTTTTTTGCCCAAGTGCAATACTTTACATTTCTCCCTGTTCAAATTCATCTTGTTTGTTTTGGCCCAGTTCTCTAATCTGTCAAGGTCGTTTTGAAGTGTGATCCTGTCCTCTGGGGTGTTAGCCACCCCTCCCAGTTTGGTGTCATCTGCAAATTTGATCAGGATGCCCTTGAGTCCATCATCCAAGTCGTTGATAAAGATGTTGAATAAGACCAGGCCCAAGACAGAACCCTGTGGCACCCCACTAGTCACTCTTCTCCAGGATGAAGAGGAACCATTGATGAGCACCCTTTGGGTTCGGTCAGTCAGCCAGTTACAAATCCACTGAGTGGTAGCATAGTCAAGACCGCATTTTACCAGCTTCTTTACAAGAATATCATGGGGCACTTTGTCAAATGCCTTGCTGAAATCAAGGTAGGCTAGCATCCACTGCGTTCCCTTCATCTACCAGGCTTGTAATTCTGTCAAAAACGAGATCAGGTTAGTCTGACATGACTTATTTTTCAGAAATCCATGCTGACTATTGGTGATCACAGCATTCCTTTCTAGGTGCTCACAGACTGTTTGCTTAATGATCTGCTCCAGAATCTTCCCTGGTATTCATGTCAGACTGACTGGGCGGTAATTATTTGGGTCCTCTCTTTTCCCTTTTTGAAAATAGGGACAACATTTGCCCTCCTCCAGTCTGCCGGGACTTCGCCTGTTCTCCAGGAATTCTCAAAGATGACTGCCAGTGATTCTGAGATCACATCTGCCAGTTCTTTTAATACTCTTGGATGCAGTTCATCTGGCCCTGGAGACTTGAATACATCTAAACTAGCCAAGTATTCTTGTACTATCTCCTTAGTTATTCTGGGCTGTGTTTCCTTTGCTGAATCATTTGCTCCAAATTCTTCAGGTCGGGCATTGTTTTCTTTATCGGAGAAGACTGAGGCAAAGAAGGCATTGAGGAGTTCAGCCCTTTCTGTGTCCCCTGTTTGCATTTCACCATCTTCTCCTCTGAGTGACCCCACTGTTTCTTTGTTCTTCCTTTTGCTACTGAACATACCCACAAAAGCCTTTTTGGTGCCTTTAACCTCGCTCGCAAGCCTGAGTTCAGTCTGAGCTTTAGCTTTACTGACTTTGTGTCTACACGTGCTGGCTATTTGTTTGAATTCCTCTTTGGTGGTTTCCCCTTTTCCATTTTTGTACACATCCTTTTTAATCTTAACTCAGTTAAAAGTTCTTTAGATAGCCACCCTGGCTTCTTTAGGCACCTTCCATGTTTCCGTCTCATTGGTATTGCCTGACGTTGTGCTTTTACTATCTCCCTCTTAACAAACTCCCAGCCATCATGAACTCCCTTTCCTTTTAGTATTACTGTCCATGGATCTCACCCAGCACTTCCCTAAGTTTTATGAAGTCGGCTTTCTTAAAGTCAAGAAATTGAGTCCTAGTATGCTTGGCTGCTCCTTTCCGCTGTATAGTAAACTTCAGAAGAGCATGATCACTCGCGCCTAATGATCCTTCCACTTCTACCCCACTAACCAGGTCATCAACATTGGTTAGGACCAGATCTAAAATGGCTGTTCCTCTTGTTGCTTCTCCCACTTTCTGGACAATGAAGTTGTCTGCAAGGCCAGTGAGGAATCTGTTTGACCTTATGCTCTTGGCTGAATTTGACATCCAACAAATATCCAGGTAATTGAAGTCCCCCATTACTACTATCTCCCTTCCTTTTGCATGCTTGGCCATCTGTTCCAGGAAGGCATCATCTATGTCTTCTGTTTGGCTTGGGGATCTATAGTAAACTCCCACAATGAGGTCACTGTTATTCTTCTCTCCCTTAATTTTGACCCAAATGCTCTCACTTTGGCTTTGAGGTTCTAAATCTTGGATCTCTTCACAGGTATACACATCCCTGACATATAACGCCACTCCTCCTCCTTTCTTGTCTGGTCTGTTTCTCTGAAATAGATTGTATCCCCATTATTACATTCCAATCGTGGGACTTATCCCACCAGGTTTCAGTGATGCCTATTATGTCATATTTAGTTTGCTGTACCAAGAGCTCAAGCTCATCTTGTTTATTTCCCATGCTTTGCGCATTAGTGTACAGACATTGAAGTCCATTAATCATTCCCCTGTGTCTCTTATTTAAGGATTTTTTCCTCCCACCACTAGGTCTGCGTGATAGACCGTGTTGACATCAGGCAGACACCTTCACTGCAGTCATTTCCACACATGCTAAAACGTTTTTGTTTAGACAGGTCTGTCTAGATATGTAGAAGGACTGTATGTGTTAAAATCTTGCAGGTAAACTGGATGCAAGTTATTAAGGGCTCTGTAAGCTAATAGGAACACCTTGTACTTGGCCTGGCAGCAAATCGGCAGTCCGTACAGGTCTCTGAGCACAGGTGTCAGGTGCTGAGAGGGTCTTCTTCCTGCCACATGTTCCAGCTAGCCCCTCCCACTGCCACCGGCATGTCAAGTGCACCGCCTTGCCGCCACAATGGAAGGGGCTGGGGCCATGTGAGGTCAGCATGCCCCATGGCATGCAGGCATGGCTGCCATGGAATTTTGAGGGGGCCTGACCCCCTCCTTGAATTTTTTAATGGGGTCTTAGCCCCCCCCCCCGTCACCTCCCCCAGTTGGCACACCTGCCGCAGGGAAGATACCTTCATGAGATGGTGAAAAGTTCTCCCTTATTGATGGAGCTGGTTATGTAAGATGTGAGCACACATTCGTACCCATTTTGTCATCTTAGCTATTTCTTGCAAGCCAAGCAGCCTGAATGCAGCAGCCAAGAGTTAAAACCAAGGAACTTTCCCCATTCACGGTATGGGAATCTGCACATGTTCAGAGAGGTGTCTTTTTTCTAATGAGAGCTTTGGGAGATATATTGGTGAGCAAAGCAAACGACTCTTCAACAGTATACTAGGCACACATGAACCTCAACAAAACTGGGAGCCCTCTTTAGCCTGGGTCTGTATGGCTGCAGGCTGCCCTTCTTGGTATGAATGCCTGGTAAGCTCTATGCATGGAAGAGTCTCTTCTGAATATCCCCTCACTCTCTCCTCTATATGCTTGGAATATAGTCCCCTTAGATATCTGATCTATAGAAATCTAAATGCATTGTCTCCATAGAGGGACAATGATTAGCATATGGTTAAAAACAACAACACCATAGAGAAATGTGGACTTAGATGAAGTCCAGAGAAATCAAATATACCTAAAACCCATGGGAGAAAATTCTCCTTTTCCAATGGAGCTGGTCTCTGGAACTGCAGAGTCTACATGGAGGAAATAAAAAAGGGAGATGAAACAGGATCCTGGTCTCAGCTGAGGAAGAGAAGTACCTCTATCAAACCAAAATTAGAAAGAACAACTTTTAAAATCAGAGGAAGCAAGGAGCAACATATGCAAGGAATGTTACAAGATAGAGTGTTTTGAAATTGAGAACTCAGACCATGTCGGAGAACGTAATACCTGGCTCACAAGCAGTGTATAAAGGCAACAGTATTTCCTATCGATCTCCCCCAGCATATTCAATACAAAATTTCAGGTCACTGTCAGGGCTGATAATCACTGATAGGACTTGAGGTTTCTTCATCCATTTGCAAAGCCGTTCAATTGCACTATGAGTGAAGCTTCAGTTTATCACCTGTTTGAGGACTGTTTTGTGGAATTGTGGGAATGCCTTTGGTGGCCTAAGGACCTTTTTCTCAGCTGAACTTGTTGCTTGGGAGATGTACATTGTGGTAACTATATTTGTTACACCTTAAGACAAGCAGTTGTTCTTGCTGTCAGTGCTATACAGTATTTAATGCTGACCCTTACGGCTCTATACATTCATGGTGCAAGGGTGTAAATCTGCTGAACTCACACATGGAGTATTTACACCAGTTGTGGATTTCCAAGTTTGAAAATTTATTGTGCAAGACTAATGGGTTTCTCCATGAAGTGCCAGTAATTTCATTAACTTTGGGTAGATAAAAATCTTGATCTAGTGTTGCATTTATTGATTAGTGCCTACAGCTAACTCTGCTTATTTAGTTTGCTAGAGGATACTCTTGATACAAATAAGGATTTCATGCTGAAAGAGATTCTTTTGCCAAATTCTGCACTGAAGAGCTACTTTCAAAAATATGTCTGGTAAATACAGTCAGCATTGTTAAGGAATTCAAAACTTTTTGTTGTAATTCTCCACAAAGCACACAGTGTTCTTTGAAGGCCACATTGAGAAAGTCAGCAAAGTGTGTAGGGCTGGCAGCTCAACCCACATTCCGTGGACCAACACCATTGACACCACATCTTTGTTGGAAGGTTGCTCACAGGCATGCAGAGCAGTTGGCAATGGCATCTGATATCATGGATCCGCTCAAGGTTTTCTCAGTAGCTGATCATATTTATAGTTATTATTTATGCTTTATTTATTTATAATTTTTGTAGCCCACTTTTCTGCTGAAGGCTCAAAGCAACTTCCTATAAATAATGAATAATATTGAAAATAGAAAAGGTGTGACTCTACACAAGTCCCATAAAATTCTTCATCATCTTCTGATGAGAACCATTTTGTTTTCTTTTTAATGAATCTTCTGTGCTGCACCTTCCTTGGTTGTTATCTGTGTGCCTTTGGAGAGATTCCTGTACATAGTTACCCTGGCACAGGCCATCTCAAGCATTGCTGCCAGAATCCCCTGCAGACTCCTTTCAGGTTTGTCTACTACATTTAGTAGCAACATTGGATTATTAACCCCAAGCCATTGATTCTTTGCCAAGAAGCACTAACAAAACAGATGTGCCCGTGACCTTGTCTGCAGACTGGTCACACATTGCTCCTCAGACAATTAAATGGATTTCTCAGCCCAAATTGTTTATCCTACAACATTTCCCCCAACTCCAGGAGGTCCAAGCCAAGGATGGTTCACTTCAAGTTGTTCTTAAGATGTCCAACTAGTAAAATACTCCAGCACTTCAATTAAATTCTTCAAGGACACATGAAAAGTCCTGAATCCTGATGATGATGATTTTTTAAAAAAATGTATTTCGTTAAAGATTTGCTACAAAACTAGCAAATAAGCAGGGGAAAGTACGTTTTTCGTCTCCACTTTCAGCTCATAATCTTTTTCACAGTTCATTTACATGCAGCAAGAGACACTTGCATCATAGACATCTTGCAGTTGGGGGAAGAGAGAGGGAGAGAGATGGGGAGTGTTGTTCTTTCGTTCTGCTGCATGGTGTTAGT